CCGCACCATTTGTGCATAGTACGCAGGTGCGCCATCTTGTTGAAACCAGACGGTACTTAAGAACCCAGCGGACTCTAGTTGCGGAATGACGCAATATTGCAGTAATTCCTTGCACGAGGATGCTAGAAAGCGTAAGGCATTAGTACTGTGAAACAACCAACCGATCACAGTACCGGAAAAGAAAAATGGTCCCACGATGCTTTGGCCAGTTAACCCAGCCCATTGGCTTTACGCCATGTTGTATACGTGAAGCGCTGCATCGGCTGCTTCTCTGCACCGTGCAAACGGAAAACAGCCTAGTCAGTAAAAAGGAATTGAATGCATGTCTATTCACCTCGATCATTAGACCAATCCTTGAATATGGTGCTCCAGCTTACCATCTGATAACCCAGTGGGAATCTGAAAAGCTGTAGAGAGTGCAGCATATCGTAACTAGAATGATACCGAGTCTACGAAAGCTTCCGCATGAAAGACGTGAAAGTCTCGGGATCTACATACTATTCTACCACCGAGTAAGAATTGACCTTTGTATGACTCATCGAGTACTACACGTGAATCGCCTCCCAATACTGCGGCCAATAATCACCTGCGGGAACAATGTAATACCCGAAGACACCGTTACAAACAGGGTGCCCTGCATGAGCAAGGTATCACATCAGTGGTGATGCGAGGCCGCCCTGTCTTTTTGGCGTCGCACACGCGTCGTTTTTCTCAAATCTTCTTACCAGCTTACGAACATACCGTCCGTTGATGGACTGCTTGGCGCTGTGGATAGTGTTGTGTTATCGAACAGCTTGTTCAGCGTTACACTCGTATTCACCATATAGAAGAAGAATAATCACTCGCTGATTAACAGGCACCTAACGCGATTCGGATTGAGGGTGACTTGTTGATGGCGGTATATGCTCGCGATACATCACCCAGCCATTTATCTGATAAACAAGTGGAAAGAATTTCACCACCTCGCCTAGTCATAGCCTGACTGCTGTGTGTGTGCGTGCATTTTGTGATCAGCTTCGCCCTACACTGGTGAGGTCAGCGCTGGTTGCCCTCACACTGACCTCCGTTAGTGGTTTGCCTGTCAATCCGCAGTCGTATCGGAGTCAGACTATCGTGAGCTTTGGACAGTGAGGTGGGCGGCTGTCTCCGCGCCAGAGGGGCCGTCAGCCGATTCAGTTTGCAGTCGAGTCTCCACTTCACACGCGGCCAGACAAACGGGGCAGAGAGACAACTGTGACAAAGCTTACGCGCAATCTCACGGACACTTCCGCTTCTACACAGCGTGCCGATTGGACGGGTTCAGTTTCGAGAGAATGCGTCGGGTTCCCTTCAGGCGCTCATTGATGCAACAAACAGGAATGCCGCTGGACTTATATTCTCAGACTGACTGTAGAAGAGTGCGGCTTTGCCTCCGAGTAAAAGAATTATGTAGACACATTTTAACGGCAACCACCGAGATGTCGTAAATTGAATGTTCTGCATCTGCGGGCGAGTTGTCAAAAACGACCGTCCTCACATTGGTTGACTGGCAGCAACGAGCAAAGTGGTTCGTTTTTCCAGATTTGGCGCATTTCGTCCACACGCCGGACACTGTTCACGAGAGCTCGGGTGTCGCGCGAACCAAAGTTTGCAGATATCCTGTCTCTCGTTAGTAGCCTTTGCTGCATCGTCTCCGGAAACAGCACATAACTCTGCAACAATTGCGAGTCTAATTTGTTGGAATTGATAGGTTGTCGATGAGTCAAGGTTGTGTAGTCACAAATCCGCTTTGTCGTCCTTTCATCATTGATTCCCAGAACGACCCGATCGCGTATGACACTGACGTCCATGCCTTTACAGAAATTGCAGGATCGGGCCGAAATCTTCAATTCGGTTGTGAACGCGTAAGCGGATTCGTTTGGGCTTCTGTTGCGTTAAAAGTAAAGATAGCGCAGGTAGGTCTCGTTGGTTTGATCTTAACAAAATTCACTGAACTTTTCAGTGACTGTCTCCAAATTATTGGAATCTTTGCCTTTGTCGTGGTGCAATGTCTCTGTCACACGACGCGCATCATCCCGGCTGCGTGTCAAAACATGACCAAGCGGTACGCGATCGGTTGTTCGTCCAAACGTACCAATGTGCAAAAATCCAGCAACCTACTCCTCCATAGACGCTAATTACTCGCCAAGTTCCGTTCATCCATGTTCAATGGGCAGGCAATTGAATAGACACTGATGATCCGAAAAGCATCCCAGCGTCCCCAATGGGGTTCGTCTCTGTCTTCGCTGACACCATGTTGCAGAGCTCAGTCCTTCAGGGACAAGTGTTTATTCGGCAAAGACAACTCCGCGAAACTTGCAGCATGTTTGGCAAGCCATATTCCTCGATATAAGTTACGCGTTCAGGTATATAACTAAAAACCCTCTTGAAGCAACGAGGTACTTCCTTTGATTCTGTTAAACGATTAACGCATGAATGTCGGCCAATCCATGTCCAGCAAGTAAACCAATTACAACCATTGACCATTGGCTATCTGGTTCGTTCGGTTGGCCCACCCGTTCACTCTGGTATGACACTTCCAACACACTACCAGTGCCGCATGTGGGGGATCGCAGGGTAAGCACGGAGTTCGGATCTTGTAGGCGGGTTTCCGGTAAGCAGCAAATATCCATCGATTAGGTCTCTAGTGTTGGGTAAATGCTGCCTGTTGACTGATCTGTAGCAAAGTGCGAACGTTGAGGCATGCCAGTCTTAGCGAGGATCTATGACTCTAAAGGGAAACGGATGAAGTGACGTTGTCCGCTTGGTTGAACATGGACTTGTCGACTGGACTGGAGCGACGCCCTGCAATTGGGTGTAAGTTGAAATTAGAAGATAAGAGAATATTCAAGCAAGATGAGGGAGGACCAAGAATTAGAGGATTGAAAACAGAATAAAAATGAAGTTAGAGCGGGACGATAAGGATGAAAAAGGGTAAGAGGGGGGTCAGAAGAGGGGAAGGCCTGAGCAGTAGCATCCAAACCCCGATCCATCCTGCTCGGAGCAGCAGATAGGCCGCTGTTGATTATCTTCTGCGACGGCCAGAACATCAAGTAAGCTGGTGGAAGAGGAGTTCGTAGATCTGTTTTGCGCAGGCAGGAGACTGTCAGGTTGCCCAAGCCTAGCAAGAACGATCAGGGCTAACAAAAAAGCCTTTGATTTCGGCACTGGGCTACAAAGAGTCCGTCTTACGGAATAAAGAGCAACCCTCATTCCAACCCCCAACCTGGAGGGCCAGGAGACTGAGTTGGTCTGCCCTCTAACCATTGACCAATTTGGTATGAATGGCTATGAAAGTGAAAGAATCCCCAGTCGGCATAGCTCAATGGGATCACTGACGCACACAAACCGCGATGAGCATTCAACCTCACTAAGTTGCCGTTGCCAGTTATTGTTATTCTTGCGATGTGACTCGTAGAGGCTGGATACACCGCACATCGGTGCTCTGACCTTCGATTTTTCTTCCACACTTCCAGCACGTAACTGACAGCAGGGACAGTAATGTAAGGAATGTGGGCGTTAAGTTGGTGGACCAGGGTGTTTTCGCCTTAGACCCATCAAGAAGTCGGAGCGCCTCTATCAACCCATGGATCGACGACCCGCTCAAAAAGGAACACCTACATGGTTCATCCTATCGTTCCAGTCCCAAATGAACTTGAACTTGGATCGAACACTGAACAACCCTATAAGGAGCGACCTTAAGTAATGCAGGGTTATTCTATTGTCGTAAGCCATTGCGAGTGTAATGATGATTAGAGCATCGCACGCAGTGTTTTACAGGTGAAGTGCACTAACGTAACGTCTAACCATTACGGTGAGGCGCAAACAAGAAAATGCATCCCTGTGAAACCCAGTGACGTGTCTACTGACAACTGCATCAACGCCTCGATAATCGTGCCTAAACGTACGCAAGAAAAGTATGCCAGTAAAGTACGGGATGATAAAGCACTTGGCAGAGAAAGTTCTGGTTACGAGTGAAACAAGTCACTCGTCTGGGGAAACAAGTTGATGGCAAGTGTCGGCCTCTGTGCATCGCGTTCGGCGACGAAACTGCCCCAAGGTTAGTACTGTCCCGCCTCGGTCGCCTAAAGGGGATGAAAATTCATGTCCGGCCAGACCTTGATCCCGCAGAACGAGAGCAGCTGAAGTCTGCCGTGATCGAACTGAAACGACGCACGGACGCCGGTGAAACTAACCTGCGTATCGTAAATTTTCGCACAGTTGCCCGGATACCCCGAATCCGGGTAAACAGAGCAATGACGCTTCAAGCTCGTCCAGCGGTTCCTACCGCGGATTGCGTGTAGCGTTCATTAATGTATGCAGCTTAATGAACAAGCACGATAATCTGATCCGCTTCATTGCTTCACGTCGGCCAGATGTGGTTGGTTTGGCTGAGATGTGGTTGACACCTGAAGTGACAAGCGAAGAAATTGCGATCACGGACTATTCGTGCTTCCGCTGTGATCGACAGTCGAATAGCCGCGGTGGCGTCCTACTTTACCTCCGGTCTACCCTGTGCGGGAGACTCGTGAGCACCTACCGAAGCATTGACGGTCTATGTGAGCAGCTGTGGTGTTCGATCCACCTACGACGCGGCGAACTGCTTGTGGGTGTGGCATATCGTAGCCCACCGAGTAACGGATTGGATTGGCTCACACACGTCCAAAACCGAATGAGTCGCCCGCAGTTCCTGCTCACTGGCGACTTTAACCTTCCTCGAATCTTATGGCCTGAAGTTCAGCTTCTCCCTGGCCATAATGAAGTGGAGACAAGATTCGCCGAACTGGTACTGGAAACCGGAACGGTGCAGCACATCACGCAACCCACCCGCATAACCCCGCGCTCAATGCCATCATGCCTGGACCTGCTGCTAACCAGCTGCGAACAAACAGTGCATGACATAGAAGTTCTTGAGCCCATGGCGGCCAGTGATCATTCGACAATTATGGCCACTATAGACCTGCAGCTTCCATGTGTGCGTCCAGTGGCGCCAATATACAACTATTGGAAAGCTGACTTCGATGGCCTCACTCTAGCTGCCAATCAGCTTGATTGGTCTATGCCACAGGATTCATCCGTTGAAACTTGCTGGGCAAACATTAAAGGGGCAGTGCACGCATTGTGTGCGCAATTTGTACCCCTCAAGACTCGGAAAGTTGGACCAATGAAACCCCATTGGTTTGACAAAGAGTATAACCGACTGTCTCGACAACGGCGTCGACTATGGAATGCGTTCCTCCTGTCTGGCTCTGCCGATGACTATGAGGCATACAAGCGACAACGAAAGTTGTGCAACAGCACAAAGACGCGAAAACGCCGTCAGTTTGAGGAGCAGCTTGCTTGCTCAGCTAAAACTGCCCCGAAGCGCATATTTGCGTACGTGAAGCGACGCCTGAAGTCTGCAGGTGATGTGCCGGTGCTAGTGGGTTCGGACGGACAACCACAAAGTTCAAGCACCGAGCGTGCGTCCGCATTAGCGGCGCACTTCGCTTCTGTATTCGCAACTAACCAAACCTGCGCGCCAAGCTCTGCCGTCGCCGCACCGACTGAGCTAACCGACTTGATCTGCGACGCCGCGGAGGTACATGGGCTAGTCAGCTGCCTAGACAGCACGAAACCAGCTGGACCGGATGGTCTCCATCCGCTGATCCTCAAGTCCTTGTCAGCTGTGATCTCACCTGCTGTAACCGACCTGTTCAACCGATCCCTGTCTATAGGCTGCGTGCCTTGTGACTGGAAATGCGCCGTTGTCAAACCGATTCCAAAAGGCGGTGACACACGCAAAGTGGAGAATTACCGCCCTATTTGTTTGACCGCAGTATTGTCGAAAGTTCTGGAGAAGATTGTGAAGAAGAGGCTGCTCCAGCTACTGGAGACCAGCTCTCTCCTGACGCCTGCACAGCATGGTTTCGTGAGAGGCCGCTCGTGCATCACTAACCTGCTGCTAACATGGCATGGATGGTTGCAAGCAGTAAACCAACGTAAGTCAGTCGACGTGGTATACGTCGATTTCAGTAAGGCCTTCGACAGAGTGAATCACGAGATCCTCCTTCAGAAACTGAGGGAGTGCGGAGTCGGGGGCTCGCTGCACCAGTGGATCCGTGACTTCTTAGTTGGACGGAAGTGGAGGGTGCAAGTCGACAGCCACCTGACCGACTGGTACCCGTCGACGAGCGGCGTTCCTCAGGGGACGGTGCTTGGCCCCATTCTCTTCCTGATTCACATCAACGACGTGCCCAATCTCCTTCGGTCGCCGTGTGCCTTGTTCGCGGATGACCTGAAGCTATGGAGGATCCATACGTCGGACGACTTTGACATACTTCAGCAGGACCTCGACCGCCTCTCCATGTGGTCCGCCGAAGTAAGTTTGCCTATCAACTCGGCAAAATCGCTACTTCTATGCCTCGGTAAAGGTGGAGCGGGCCGATCGTACACTCTCGACGGCCAAGTTCTACACCCGACGCATTGCGTCAGAGACCTTGGCGTTATACAACGTTACGACATGAAGTCAATGGACAACACGGACAATACGTACCGCACAGCATTGCGTTCGCTGTGGGCGCTGAAACGTAGCTTCTGCACCTGGTCCAAAGAGATTGCCACTCGTCTCTTCACATCCATTGTACGACCGGTGCTAGAATACGGCTCACCCGCCTACTGTCCGTTGACGAAAGGCGAGATACACAAGCTCGAAAGAGTACAAAACATAGCCACACGGCTCATTCCCGGTCTTCAGGATGTGCCGTATGAAGAAAGATGCAGACAATTGGGTCTGTATACTCTAGCCTACCGCCGCGTGCGAGTGGACCTCATCATGACCCATCGGGTATTGCATCTGGGTGCTTATCCGATGCTGAGGCCACTGCTCCATGTCCGTGCGTCAAGCAGCACACGAGGTCACCAGTACAAACTGGTAGTCCCTGACCTCAAGTGGGTAGCTCATCCCTTGTGTCTTGAGCGGCGAGTGGTGAACATGTGGAACCGTTTGCCCTCGCGGATAGTAGAAGCGAACTCGGTGTCGGAATTCAAACGATTCCTGGACGCGCACTTTGCGGATGCCAGATTCGACGAAGACTTCACAGGAAACTGACGAAGGAATCGTTCAATGATTATAACCCATGGAGCCCGTTAATCCACCAACTGCAGCTTCCGAAACGATGTTCATCTGTAATAGGCGGAGGAGCTGGTGAAGGACTCTATGTGGTTCATCCACGAATATATCGTAAGTACATGGAGATTTTTTCTATGCTTGTAAATATTTTACTATTTTACTTTTTTCACCTGGGCTAGCTCGCTACTACAGGTAACACTGTGTCAGTGGGACATGTCCTACATTGAGATATAGCCACATAGATGTTCAACATCTTTCTCGCCATCATGACAGTCAAGTCAAGTCAAGTCAGTGGGTACGGAGATGAATAGTATAATGAGCTTGTGGTGTAGACTTTTCGCAGAGTGCGCTGGAACTTGATCTACGATGAATGATAGCGCATATAGAACAAACAGTAACAACAGTGCATTTGAAGTTACAAGGATAGACAACAAGTAATATGGAGCTGTGTCGAGAAACGTTTTCATTCGAGTTGGAAACCAGGGAATGCATAAAAGTTGTTATCAAAAGACTCAATAGAGGAAAAAGCAACAGTGCAAAAATTGAATAAGCGCTAAATTTAGACAATGATTCTTTGATCAATTAGCAACGCATGAAAGGAGAGGGATGTGCGGCGGGAAACGGACAAACTAGTAACGATGTGCAAACGTCAGTGAAAACATGCATAGATTACCTGAAATCGTCGGAACCAATTTTTCCCGGGTTTCAAACTGACCTAAGTTAGCCGCTACTGTGGGGAGAGAACAAAAGACTCGCAGTTTTTCCTGGTTGAGTTAGCTAACTAGAACAAGCTTACAGCGGTCTCCAGGTTTTCTGGTTCAAGCTGACTGGAACCTGCAGCGGATGAGCCGTCAAGCTTGAGTGAATTCAGTGTATCCAGAACAGCATTAACGACGGACATCCTATTATAACCGATGACAGCTGCAACGAAGCACACAGTAGGATGGGGCCAGCACTATCCGCACAGTGGCCAAGGTCAGCGAATAGTTTATTCAAGTTGATCATTTATTAGATCATTGGATCAAATCAGATCTGACAGGAAAAATAAGAGCATCCTAAACCTTCCATCCTTGGTGTGACCGGTTGCGTACTGTGAGTACCGTAATTACTACGCGGTAAATCGATTTCTTGGAGTGCCATTCTGCTCGAGCATTTTAGCTGCATATTGTGGAAAACACTGTTTGAATAAACCCAGGTGACATAATTTGACCATTGTAAAATTTCCTCTGATCCAAGATATCTTGGATCGACTAAAGCGGTTCGGGTCAAAGCGTTTTTGGCGCTTAGTGGTAATTTTTCCGGTTTTTCCCAGTTTTAATCCCGTTTTGCACCCAGGTTTTGCCTTTTTATTGAGGACGCTTACCTATTGTATGCGTGTTTTAATTCCGCTCTGTTTTCCACTATGTCGGTCTCGCAATGCACCGAAGCTGTTGATCCTGGTAGATCGGATTCTGAGGTTATCGCACTTTGTGGCAGTCCAAGCTGCAATATACCAGTAACTGACGATTCCGGCGATATGCAGTGCGATGTCTGCAACCGATGGTACCAACAGCTTTGTACGGACCTAAATACCGAACAGTACGGCGTTGGCCTCCAGCGAGCTGTTGCTTTTCAGTTGTGCCAATTGCTGCAGCCGCCTGCAAGGCCGCGCGGCATTTCGTACGATAGACGAATCTCTTGATACCCGGTTGCGAAATGTAAAACGTTCGTTCTCGATGCTCTCAGATATTCGTCTTAAGATTGATCCGCTCATGACGACGCTTCCGGTCTCCAATAACAAAAGTTTGATCACATACATTGGAGATCAACTTGTGCACCAGTCACGTCGCCCGTCCAGATGGTTACCGACCACAAAAAGAAGGTGCTTCGGACGTCCTATTTAAAGGTACCCTGATGGACGCCGAAGTGCTGGTTCAAGGGTCCCTTCGAGTGAAGCGAAAGGGAGCCAGGAAACCCCGTAATTTCTCAGCTAAACTGGAAGTTATTGTTGTCTCTGTAAAGGAAACAAGCCAAGTGTGGTTACTTGGCAAACCGTCTGACGGTTGTGCGAAGGTGGGGATTCCAGCACGCACTACTTGTCAGCCGAAGTTGCCGGATATCTCGGTTCTCACCGAGAAGACATGTTCTGAAGGTTTGCTTGACTGTACTAAAAACAAAATATCGTCACCGGACCCTGCTCCCGTTATCAAGAAGTAAAGGCAGACCAATCTGTCATAAGGCCTTTCGGTGGAATCGATGATCCGACAAAAGTAGGACATCGACAATGGAGCGAACAACATACGCTGCCTTTACTACCTCATCGGAGGGGCTAAAGACAGTCCCATCACCAGTGGTGAAGCCACCTGCTCCACGTAGCGCTTCAAAAACCCGTGGGGTTAATACACCTCTTCGTGAGGAAACTTTCACGGATAGTAGCGTTATATGCCGTAACGCGGATGAATCTACTGCTTTCCTTCCTGCTGATCGCATGTTGGACGACCTTCAATGGTTTAAAATGTTCGTAAAAAAGCTTTTTCCGCATGATTTTCCAAGCGTTACTGTCAGGAAGCTGATTAGACTGGGGAACATCCCAGTTAATGTACCAACCCCTCCACCGCGGCCACTTCGTGTGGTACTCTCTACCCCGGGGGAACGCAGCGCTCTCATGCGGTCCGCGATTAACCTGAATGGTACAAATATTAGCGTTCAGCCAGACCTTCCGCAGGCTGAAGTTAAGGGAGGCCAGCAAGGACCTCAAAAGCAAGCGAGCGGCCGGTGAACAAGGTCACCGGTTAGTGGGTTTTCAAATGGTCAGCCGGCGGTCATTTTCCGCCCTATCACTGCCCATTCTGGTAGCGCACGATCCAGTTCTGGATCTAACGAATATCTTCAGATAGTGCTAAGTAATGTGCGCAGCCTAAGGAATAAGGTGCACGAGTTAGGTCTGCTTGTAGATGGGTCTCCTCCCGATATACTCGCATTCACTGAAACGTGGCTGTTTCAGAACATCATGAATGGTAAAGTACATCTATCTGGCTACGCACTATTTAGATGCGATCGCTCCGCTGGCCGGCAGGCAGGGGTCATCGCTCTTTATGTGAGCTGCAAACTTGACGTTTTGAAGACTTGCTTATTTCAGTCAGCGGACAAAACTGTTAAAGCTCTATCGGCTGTTATTAACACATCCTCGGCTCAGGTTACAGTTGTAGTTGTGTATAGAAGCCCTAGGAGCGTATCCAAAGAGGTACTTGAATTCATTCGCTCCCAGTCCGCAAACAAAGGTTTGGTGATGGGAGACTTCAACCCCCCAGAGGTTTGCTGGGCAGATCTTTCTTGCGACTCAGAGTCAGACACATTCGGTGCTGATTTGCTTGAGCTTACGCTCCAAGTATCTTTGAATCAGTTCATTGACCTCCCCACTAAGTACATGGACGCCCAAGTACCGTCTATCTTAGACCTTGTATTTGCTAAGTCACTCGATTTTGTTGATGACATTACTTACGGACCTCCACTGGGTTCCAGTGATCATGTCTGTTTGCTCTTCAGTTGTATTCTGTCTAGACGCTACCAGGTTACTCTTGAGTCTCACCTAAATATATGGCACGCAGACTATCCATAAATGAGTGCCAAGGCTTCGGGTTTTCATTGTGAGATCTCAGACGACGATACTGTCCAGGTTGCTGGGATAAATTTAAGTCCTACCTCACAGAGGTCTCTGCTCCCTTCACCCCAGTCAGAAGGAGAAAGGGGGCACGAGCACAGCCGTACAGGATAGATCCCACTGGCAGGCATCTACGCACAAAGAGACCTACATGTTGGCGGACTTACCGAGATGCTCCGTCCACCGATAATTATGACAGGTACCGTAAGGCTAGAAATAGGTGTTTGCAACACCTAAGGAATGCTCGACACAATTTCGAGGAAGGATTAGCGGACGAAGCTTCAGAGAATCCAAAAAGATTCTTCGCTTATGTCGAAAGGCGCTGCGGTTCGAACATGTCAATTCCAGTATTGATGCGTGATGACGGTACTCATGTGCATACGGACTATGACAAGGCCTGCGTACTTAGTGGGCAATATGCGGCAGCGTTTGTAAGGGAAATCTTTTTGACAGACGTTGAGCTGGTTTGCAGAATCCTAGAGGATTCAGGACTATCTGAATTTATTGTAGCGGAGACGGAAGTTCGTTGGTTGTTACAACGCTTGAACCCTTCTAAGGCCTCTGGGCCTGATTTAATTCACCCGAAACTGTTGCATGAGTTGGCTGCGGAGCTAAGTGGACCGCTCGCTATGGTGTTTCAGAAATCGCTTGAGTGCTGTGCATTGCCTTCCGAATGGAAGGAAGCTGTCATCTGTCCCATCTTCAAAAATGGGGACAGGAGTCTGCCTGCAAATTACAGGCCAGTTATCCTCACGGGTGTAGTAGTCAAACTCCTCGAGAAGCTGGCGAGAGATTCATTGGAGAGTCATCTGAGTAGATTTAATCTACTTAGCAATGTACAACACGGATTCCGGAAGGGATTTGCGTGTCTGACGAATCTGCTGGTGGCTCGTGAAAGTTGGGCGGATGCAGTGGATAACGGCCACGCGCTGGACGTACTTTTCGTCGACTTTTCGAGGGCATTTGGCAAGGTACCCCATTTGAGGCTAGCACAAAAGCTGACCTCCTACGGGGTATCTGGCCGCGCCCTTCATTGGGCGACTGCCTTCTTGGAGGGTAGAGAACAGTGTGTACGGGTAGGCCGGGGCCTATCGTTTAGGCAGTCTGTTCTCAGTGGCGTGCCGCAGGGCTCAGTCCTTAGACCGCTGCTGTTCTCTATCTATGTGAATGACCCACCCGCAGAGCTTGAGATACCATCGCTGCTATTTGCTGATGACCTGAAGCTGTGGAACATTGTCGATGTTCCTGGGTGTTCCGAAGCTATTCAGCGAGCGTTGGATAAGCTTTGGGACTGGTCTACTTTATGGTTACTGCCCATAACTCAGGCAAAGTGTTCCGTTCTTCGAATTGGACGAGGTTGTCCTCCTACGAAGTCGAACTCCCCCGTGTATCTAGCCAGGTTGACCTAGGCGTCGTACACTCTTCGGCTTTACACTCCGGCGATAACTGGAAGAAAGCCGCAAACGGAGGTTTCCGCATGTTGTGGTTAATACGACGTTCTTTCGGAGTCTTGATGGGCGGCATCTTTACGAGACTGTTCTCGGCTTCAGTTCGACCTCATCTGGAATAGTGCGTCCAGGCCTGTCCGCCCTGCCTCGTCAGGGACAAAATTGAGCTGGAGAGGGTTTTACGAGTGGGTATTGGTTAGTCAAGGGATTACGGGGACGGACGCACCCCGAGCGTCTACTTAGTTTGGGAATGCATTCAATGCACTACCGAAGGTTTAGAGGAGACCTAATCCTAACCTACCGTATCATAACTGGGAAGGTTGGTCCAGATTTATCTTGGCTACTCAGCCCCGCTAGATTGTCTGTTCTACGCGGGCACTCCTTGAAGCTGGACAAACCGCGGTCCGATCGGATTAGGGCGGAAATCCGGCTGTCACGTAGAGTCATCGAGCGCTGGAACATGCTTCCGGAAAGTGTTATCATGGAATCTACGGTTAAGGGGTTTGAAAGGCAACTTGATGCTCTTGGGTGGCAACACGAAATCTTTCCATTTTCCTGAGTAACTCGCATCATCGTGCTTCAATTTTCTTTTCTCTACTTTCTTCACGCATTGGTATTATTTTCTTAGTTCAAGTGCACTTCCTCATTCTGTACCTTCGATTTCTCTTCTTATCCTTTGCTTACTTCACGTGACTGCCACAGCAGGGACAGCTAGGGCAGGGAACGTGGGCATTAACTGGTTGGCCAGGATGCGATACGGGTGTTCCGTTTTCCATCCATCAAGATCTGAGCACTTCATCAATTCCTGGCTCAACGATCCACTCAAACTGGAACACTCATGAGATTCTCCTATCGTTCCAGTCTTACCTGAACCTTAACGTGAACTAGTTAAGCCGCTAGTTGATA